ACAGTACGTACACGGTAACTTAATTTTTCAAGTAACAGTCTTGGATGCTATGTTTATAGATTGGAGTCTCTTACATGTCATTTTTTTAATTCAAATTAAAAACTCAAACGTAACACATCTTAGTAGTCCCCGTGACCATGGCTGCTGTAAAGCATCCGAAATGTCTTATAGTGGTTAAAATAAATAAAAAATAAATTGTGTAATTGTGTTCGGCCGAAGTACTAACAACACCGATGATGCCGTCGCTCGTGATGGCGAAACGTCGAGAACCACTCCTCACTTATGACACAATAAAAAAAAAGTTAATTAAAATATTTCGTGTTTTAAACCGTTAAGAGCATTTCATTAAATATGTACTTGTGTTAAATACACGTCACAATACTTAACCGTACTTCAAAATCCGTTACAAAGCCGGAATTATAAAAAGCCACTGTTCCCGAAATGAAACAAATACATTTACCATTAAAGTAATTTACTCGCGGCGTGTAAGAACGAAGAGAAGGAATTTCGTTAAAATCCATACAAAGAACACGTATTTCCGTTTCATTGTGGGTGTACAATGGCGCAATACGCCCAAGTATATTTTAATTAAAACTTTTAACTGCGTTTTCGTTTATTCTCGAACGTATTGCTTTGGAATTATGCCGCGCGTGGGTTTAGGTGTTTTGCACGCGAGTGTAGCCTGTGTTGCGTTTTTGTTTAAGGGATTCCAAAGGAAGCCTCAATATTTGCCGGAACATTTTCTTTGATCTTTTATAAATTTAACGCTATGATTAGACATGGGGACAAAGTATGATTAATAAAATACTGTCTATAGTTTACGCGAGTAGTACACATTTAAATAAAACACTTTAACGGTTTAACTTCGTCCCGACGTTTCGGATGCTTTGCAGCAGCCGTGACCACGGCTAAAAATCATTTTCAAATAAGTTTTACTAATATATCGCGTTTTAAACCGTTTAAGTGTTTTATTTAAATATTATGCCTATTTAAGTTCAAAAAAATCCTTCAGTTAGGTTTATCTTACACTTTTAAATAACCTCTGATAAAACGTCACACATCTAGACACATCACACACACATAAATCTACAGTAACATGTTCAAGTCAAAACATTTACACCATTCTATATACGATCACACTATGTGATACTGTTATTAAATTTAATGATTTAAAGAAGCTGGAGCACGGGTATTTTTTATTTAAAAGAGATTCTATATCAAAATTGAACGAAATTTACGATCTTATACATCGGATCAAAGGGCAGCAACCGACTAAACCCAGTAATTAATAAGAAATTACGCCTTTGAGTGTTCGTGATTCGCTCGCGTGATGTTTTCGTTACAAATGATAGGCTATTACGGCCGCGTGAAGGCTGTATCACACACTAACGACGCTAACGGCGTTATGATATATGATATGCACCGGCATTTTATATGGCATCCTCAGACCAGAGCTGCAAAGCTTATAAGTTCCCTTTTTTTTAATGCTAGAGGAGGATAGTCAAAATACCTTCTACAAAGATGCCCTGTCGACTTATTTTGGCTTTAAATATTCGGAAATCTACTAACTGAAACTGAAACATGATTTAGCTTCACGGCTTTTCCATCTGGTGGATCGTGGCACGGACGGTATTTCGATATTCCTACCAACCATTTAACATCCGGATATCCAGACGAAGTCCAACGTGTTTCAGAAAAATTATAAGTTGATTAGAAAAATGTGTGACCTAGTGTGGATCGGAGCCACGACCCGTTGATTGTTAGCCGTACATTGCTAGCATTGCCAACGAGCCCGACAAATTATTATATTATATATTTCGAGTCTTAATTAGTGGAAAAAGTTTTATTTAAATGTACATTTTTCAAATTTGACTTGAAAATTAAACAGATTTATATTCCTTACTAATATTATAAATGCGAAAGTAACTCTGTCTGTCTGTTACTCTTTCACGCAAAAATGACCAAACGGATTTGGTAATAATAATAATAATAATACAATTGGTACACATATGGTCTAGAACCTGAAAGGCCATAGGCTACTTTTTATTGTGAAAACGGGATTATAAGGGCTTAAAAGGGGGGTGAACGTTTGTATGGAAATTCGTGGTTTTATATTTCAATTATATAAATTTATAAATAGCCTAAATAATTAAAAATTCTACCCCAAGTCACTACTCCACGCGAACGAAGTCGCGGGCACAGCTAGTAAGAATATTATATAGCTTGTCTTCCTCGCATGTGTAATATGTTTAAATGTTCTATCAGTAGCAAGATATACCTTCGAAGAATCCAAAATAAAAACTCCGTAGTTCTAAATGGAAGTTCTAAGTGTAGAGCTAAACGCTCTCCGCTCTTCGTATCCGTTTATTTTGCGAGACGATTCAATTTCAATTTTTCAGCGACTTCGCGATTCCCTCGGGATCTCTTTGACTGAGACGAATCTACAACTTAATATTTACTTTACGATACAAACGGCTTTCAAGTGTAATATTAGGTTCTTTTCTGTGAAAATTCTCAAGTTCAAGTAAGTAATGATAAAAATGTTTTTAGAAATGAATTTTACAAATAAATAGCTAGAGACTTACGCAGTTAGTAAGTTTTCTTTATCCTAACAGTTGATATGTTTGTGTTGGTTTCAGTTGAATGTTTCAATACAGAAAAAAAATTGAAAAACTAACTCAATTATACGTTAACTTAAGGACAATTTATGTTTGTCATATATCGTTTGAAAGTAACACTATATTTTGACGTATCAAATAAGACCGCCTCTGTAGCCAAATGGTTAAACGTATTGCGTTAAGCGCGAGACGTCCTGAGTTCCAATTCCAGAGAAACAGAAAAATTGTTTCGGTCGATCTACTTCTTGCATTTTAAAAAACGAATCAGCAAAACAGACACAGACATGTGTTCGACCCATGCCCCACAAGGGGTAAACGAGATTTCACACTTTATCAAATCAAATTAAAAATTATTCATAAAATTGTTAACTCTACCTATACAGGACAATCCTAAAGCGATAGAAATGCTTATAAATTTAGATAAAATAACATATCCGTTTGTTTGCTTGGCTAATGCCAAACTCATCACGATTCCTGCAGTTAGTGACGTGTTTAGTTCAAGTTAAAGCAAACGGTACAAATAAGGGAAACAATAGACGATCTAAACGAAAACAAAAGTGTGTCAGATCAAAGTGAGCCGAGATAAAGTTTAACGGAAGCTTCCGTCGTGGGCGCTGAATTAATTGTTTTATGTGTCTTAGCTCGGCCTGTTTCTAACTACAGGAAGTTTGTTTAGTTGGACGTATGCACAGGGTGTTTGGGGATATTTTGTTAAACTGAAGTGGAGTATACATGTATGTCTTGTTCACTGTAGTTTATGTATTAGATAGAGATTATAAAGATCGCAATAAAACTTTTATCCATACCAATCTATTCTAATATGTAAATCTGAAGAGTTTGTTCGTTCGTTTGTATGTTTAATTGCACTAATCTTAGAAACTACGGGTTCGAATTGAAAAATTATTTTTGTGTTGGTTAAAACATTTATCGAGGAAGGTGATTACTGGCTAAAACATCGCTCTGAGACTAATATAAGCGAGGAAACTGCGAGAAATGTGAAAATTTGGAAAATTGGAAAATCATTCATTCATCATTATAGGTTTCTAAAGCGTACGCTGTAGAAACGGTTGAAGTAATAAATATATATACAATATAAAATTATATATATAAATTATAAAATCCCAAAAAATATATAAATATTCTAAAAACTAGTTTCCAACGATGTCTATCCTTTATGATTAAATTGCAAGAACGACGGGAAGGGACGCGACTGACGTCGTCGGTAAAAGCCAGTTTATAAAGATGAAGAGGTTTGCAGGAACGAATTTGGATGCCCAAAATAAAGTATCTCGCGAACGAAGTCGCTGACAGAGCTAGTGCTTAAATAAAACATTTTAACCGTTTAAATCGCGATATATATCAGTCATACTTATTTGAAAATGATTTTACCTACGGCCCGACCGTTCGAATGCTTTGCCAGCCGTGGTCACGTGGAGACTAAGGATGTGTCTGCCGTCAATTATTTAGAATTAAAAAACTGTTACGCTAGCGACACCAGTTTCGAAAGTTGATATTTGGCCGTATTTAAAATCATATTCAAATAAGTTTAACTAGTATATATCGCGTTTTAAACCGTTAAAGTATTTTATCTAAATGTGTACTCGTATAAACAGAAAACTAAAAGCTTTAAAGTTTTAGTGGTTTGAATTGCATAATTATTTTTTATTTCACTTGTGAAATAATTATCCATTGATAAAACACTTTAACGGTTTAAAACGCGATATATTAGTTAAACTTATTTGAAAATGATTCTTAACTTCGGCCCGACGTTTCGGATGCTTTGCAGCAGCCGTGGTCACGGGGAGACGTGGTCTCCACTTCTCCCGTTTTGAACCGTTAAAGTGTTTTATTTAAATGTGTACTACTCGCGTAAACTATAGACAGTATTTAATTATCCATTGGATTTAATCCTTGCCGTCTTAAGTCGTGATAAACATAATTCCTGAGACAATATAAGCCCCTCTACATTTCTATTTCAAACTTTCACCCTACTATTGGCCAATACGTCTTATGAAGTACCCGCATTTATTTCCTCTGAACGAAGCTTAGATTTACAACGTATTTATAAGGACGATGGTCTTATTTTTATTGTTGTTAGTGTATATATTGATGTTTATTATATAATTTGGATATTTTTTTACATATGTAGTTTATATTTCTGCAGTTAAAAGTCGCTTCTTGCCCCTGGAGGCACTGAAAACCAGCGCTTTACCGCATGTAAATTAAGTTATAATAAATATTTTAATTAATAAATAGTTATATTTAAAAAACTCAACATTTCAGATGCCTTACAGCATCCTCGTGAGGGGAGATTAACAGATATTTAAGATACAAGCCCCTGTTAACGGTTCCGTATATTGATATTGGAAATGATTGTTTCAGATGAAATGGCGAGAGGCGAGTGGAATGGCAGTTCCGCTTGCTGCCGCTGTCTTCCTCATGCTGCCAATCTTCACGTCGTCAACTGGAGATATCAGTATGTAACTTAATTGCCTTCATTCATGTTCAATGTCAGTGTGGATTGTAAAATATTCTTTATTTATCTATTTTTTTTTATGTTTTAGAGCATAATTTATTAAAGTATTATATGAGGCCGCTAGAGGCAGAGTAGCCTAACTGAAATTTTATGACAGGACTTTTTAATAATTTTAGAGTCTAAAAATGTTAATCAAGAAGAGCACAGTGACCGAAAATTGTTAAAATAATTCTTAGCCAATTATCTAATAGTACAAATTCAAAATTGAAAATTATGTTTTTAGGCCACTCTCCCTCTAACAGTCACATATTTAATTAAACTATTTCTTTTGATTTATTCACAGAATACCTAATATTCTCGGTTTATAATTTCTTTTTTAATGTTGTATAAGTAAAGTGTAGTCAAAAACTTCGACCTAAAATAACTAAACTCTATCTAAAGGAAAAACAATTTTCTACTCTTTGTGTTTCCGCAAACCGCAAATGGGAAACCCGAAAAAGTATTTAAAACCGTTATTATCTTAGTTTTATCAATTTCGAACTCCAATACAACGAAAACAAAGCATGTCTATCAAAACAGTGGCCCATTGTTACACGGGCACAATCGAAAACGTATTGTGGACGAGAACGAAATGGAATTTTTAACGTCCGTTAAATATCGTTAGGGTTTTTAGATGCGCGGCGTTAAGCGGATTAAATTTGAGGGTGTTAAGGCTTACGTCAAGAGTGAAGGCTTAACGGCTGAAGATTTAATTTGGACTTCCCTGGTGAATCTCCATCTTAAAATTTACCTTATTTCACAGTTTGCAGAGCCGAGTGTAATCAAAGGCTTTATAAACACCTTGATTTACAAGTTTATTTCTAATTTTTTTACAAAATTGTAACTTTCTATTCACAACAAGAACACGTCCGTTTTTTACGAATTCCTTCGTTATAAAACTTATTGTATATCTGGTCTGATTTAATGATTAGTGGTAATTGCACTTGATTGAAGACCTTCATAGCGCCACGGCGTTGAAACTTGACGGAAAATTCTTAGATTAATACCAAATATGTAATTTTTATCTAAGAAGAATCTGTCACTATCACCCCACCGGCCTTGGAGAACCCGTTAGGCCATTGGTCTTGGTTTTCACTACTAATTTAGTGGTTATAGTCGTTGCAGCCCACTGACCCGCAATAAGGGGCAAGGTGGGTCTAGAGCTATTAAAACTCTCCTCGTTTGACCTGTGCCCAGCTGGGGGACCTTAATAGCAGAAACGAATAAAATCCGCAAAAAGAAGAAATAACACTTAATTACCCCTGTAATATTAGTGTAATTTCATATTTTCGAGATCTGAGATATTTTTAAGTAGTTTTTACCAAAACCTTACCTTACTAGGTTCCTAAATTCAAGACCCTTTTTCTTATCGCCACTACTTCGTCGTCTTCGTTTTCGACGTCAAAATGTACTACCACTGTCCTTCAATGTTAGTTTTTTATTGTAACTTTTTTTATTGATGCATGTAACCTAAGTATTAACTACACATAAGTAACGGCTATAAAACACTTATCGTTCTTCACACATCACTGGCCGTTTATACCAATATCACCCCACCATATGAAGTGTTAACAACTTTAACCAGATTGTACACGCAAACAGTTAACCGAGTTTCAAATGTACGTAACGAAAGCCGCAATTTTTTTGTACACAGCAATACAAAAGCCTTTTCGAGGCATGCAATTTTAAACCTACTGTTCTTGGAAATAAAATATATAATGCCTTAACGGTCAAATGTAATAAAACCCATCTATTATGACATTGATATGATTGTCACTTGTTTTATGAAGCGAAATAATAACGTACGAATAGTTACGTACAAATAAAATCGATTTTTGATAAAAAAAAATTAAGATACGGGCGGCACTTGAATTGGTACCCACAGCATTCGCAAAAGTTATTCCCCTAAATAAGTTCTTATTTAGGCCATCATTTTTATAGGCACAATCTGTCGATTCATAAATTTAATATTTTTTTTTAATCGACCTTCTACGGACAACACTTGCACCTTTAACCACAAATTAGGTTTTATACGTTTATTTTAAGAACGAGTTAATTATATAAAAAAGTACTACATCTTATCAAGCCGACATTTTGTGTAAGTGACAGATATACAAGCTGTCAAAGTGGTTTGTGACATAGATCACCACAGACCTCGCTAAACATTTTTTGTTGTCATTAAATCCACATTCAAACAGTTTTGAACCTATGATGGTATCTAACGATGATGAGATATGTAGAAATCCTTTATAACAATATAATCTGTTTTCCTTCGCAGGACACCACGGAACATCTAGGGCGCGGGGGTGGCGAGCTAGCGTCACCTCTGACGTCACAGCCAATAACTCGGTCAGCAACGTCACAGCTCAACTTGGCGGCACAGCTTATTTGCACTGTCTTGTGGGACACTTGAACGAGCGAGGGGTAATATCTATTAACCTTACAGTAACAACGAAGTAGCTCATTTCCGGCCACAAACGGACAAGAGACTTGAATTATACATGTATTACTGTTAAAAATTAAGAATTTAATTTTGATGTCCATTTTTGGCCTTGGACTCTATTGATAATGAGCCTCTAATCAGAGTGATATCGAAATCCGAAATAAGTCATAGAATAATATTTAGTACTTACGACTCATGTTTGTCTGTCCAAATTTCACGGCATAACGAAGCAAATTATAGTCATGAGGTATAGCATACGATTGTGAATTTTCATCGAATTTAAGCGAATATTTATTTTAAATAAAATGTACGTGATATAAAAAAAGAAAACGAATTCCACTTCGGGGCTTAGTTAGGAGGATCGAACTGCTGTAGCCACTTAATAATTTAAAAAGAACATAAAAAACATCCTTCCATACATATGTCTACTACTATATAGTCTGTAGTGAACAGGACTAACTGAAAAATGTATACACACTAATTGGATTACCAGTCTAAAATTTTAAACAGCTCATCAAAAAATCTACGCAACATCAAAAGCCGTTGTCCAGAATCCATTAGCTAACGAGAATTATTTATACGATAAGTCCTCAGCGAAAATTCCAGCGCAAAGCGCGAATTATTAACCTTAGTACACAGAACGGCAGAGTGTACCATATTTTCACAAAAAGATAAGCAAAAATCCCTCCCCCCTCTGGGCATGGGGAGAAATTTACGTTATTTTAAGAAGGAATTAATAACATAAAGGAGGTACAATATTGTCTATTGTACAAAATGGCGGTTTGGTAGACAGGCTGTCAAACAGCCTTAGTGATTAAAAGTATAGACAACCACAGACCTCTTTAACTGATAAAGATATCTTACATTTATACTTACTCTAACTAGGTTTCTGTGGACCCAACGATTGGTTAAAGAGTAATGTAGCCAATATGTAGTTCCAAAAATATCGCTTGATGGCGTTATTCGACATTTCCAATTTCATCGCTATAATTTATTTATTCCACCACACCGCAAATAATAACACCACAATAATTTATTATTGTTTAAACTAATATTGTAATTTACTTTTAATTTAACTATTGATATTTTAATTGGTATGTAATGTTTAATACAAATTATAAATATTGATCAAAAGTAGCATAGCGCTGTCACTGTCAATTCTTAAAATGTCAAATTGACTTGTAAAAACTTGACAGGTGTGTTAAATTTTAGTTGTGGAGTTAACTAACCGCCAACGACGATCAGTTAAATTTAACTAAAGATGAACGGATTTAGCCGTTAGACGCGGTGTTCAGAATCCCATTTTGGTAGTTTATGGTATCAAGCGCTATCGAATCGAAAAGGGTGTCATAAACCGAGTTTTAATAGGTAATAGGTAAAAATAGACTGTAATGTTATTATAATGGTAGCAATGCATAGTGTAGTGCCCCTATAATGCAATCTCACTGGCTCGGCAACTCACTGTGTGCGCAGGCGACACGTCCGCTCTCGCCCCTTGGCTCTCGCTGCAATGACCGCGCACCCCGCCACGCAGTAGGCACGAGACAGTGTCATACGTACTAAGGACTGTAGGTTCTACTCAAACACTACATCTCTTTCTTATCAAAAACTTTTTTAATCATTTGATACAATTGACCTTGATTACTCTTAATAGTATATAAGTTAACAATTTACTGTAACTCACTGTTTTTTTTTTTATTTCTACTGTTGTTTGTCAGATTAGGTTCTTAATTATCTTGCATTGATATCCACTCGCCTTCTACTCTCTTTTTGTTCTTTATTTTTGCCTCTAAGTTCTGTCTTTTGTAAAACAATTTTGTTGGTGTTTTCCCTGTTACAGAGTGAGGTGTTGAATTATACATCTTGAGGAAGTCATTCAAGCTATCTTGTAAATCTTTTTTCTCAATACTTTTGTTTTGTCTCTCTACTTCGCCATTTTGTTGAGGCCAGTAGGCACTGTACTAAAAAGTTTTATATTACATTCGTTGCAAAAATCTTTAAATTTTGCACTCACAAACTGTCGGCCGTTATCTGCCGTTATTGATGATGGATAACCTAGGCTGCCAAATATTTCTTTCAATAGCTTGATTATTACAACTAGTAATGGTCTTCGTTATCTTCACTTCCTTGTGACGGCTATAATAATCTACTACGACTAATAAATAATCATTGCTGGGTAATGGCCCTAGTAAATCCATTGCTATATCCACCCAAGGTGCATCTAGGAGTTCCCGACGTTTCATAGGAGCTGGCGGAATTGGTAATTCTACTGAAGTACAGCCCTTACAACTCTATACCAGGCATCCAGAATCCTTGTCTGTTTTGGCCTCCATACTTTGGTCCGTAACCGTCATTTCATGCCGACAATCCCAGGGTGACCTTCGTGTGCAGCGTCTAGAACTCTTTTCCGAAATACGGATGCTATAACTATTCTATTTCTTCTTAGGAGTATATCACCGAAAAAGTACAATTAATTTTCGAAGATCTTATATCCTATGACATTATCTTCTTAGTTCTTGTCGTAGATACCTTGCCTTACTTAACGTATTTCCGAATCTTGCTCTGAATGCATTTTAATTTCGGTCAAAGAAATTGCGCATGGTTTAGCATTTTCTACAATCTGGTTGACATGTTCGTCGTCATTGGTCTTTTCGCAATCTGAGATTATGCACAGTCGTGATAATGGATCTGCGATGTTCATCTTTCCAGGCTTGTATATGATGTTATACCAATACGCCTGTAAACGTAGTACCCACCTCTCTATCCTAGCACAACGTTTTGACCTCACTCCAAACAAAACCTCTAAGGGTGTATATGATCAGTGATTAAATCGAACTCCTTGCCGAATAGAAATATATTATAATGCTCTATAGCCCAAACCAAAACCAAAGCCTCTTTTCAGTTTGGCCGCATTCGGTTAATGTGCAATTCCCAAAAGCAATAATTCGGGGTCTGTTGGCATCAATTTGAACCAAAACTGCGCCTAATCCGACAGGGCTGGCATCAGCAATAACCTGGGTTTTGTCGTTTATGTCGTAGTATCCAAGGTTTTGAATTTTGGTCAGAGATTATTTTTTTTTAAGTTCTCAAAAGCCTGATTCTGTTCTTGGGTCCATAACTCCTCGATATTAGCATTTTTGCCAAATTTCTTCCTAAATAATTGTTTCAATGGCTCTGTCGTCGTTGTTAAGAAGCCCAAAAAGCTTTGCAACTCATTTCTTTTTTAAAGCTTTTGTTGTGCAATGCATATTTTGTCAGTGACTAGGTTATATTTAGATCCGGAATCAATCAACATTTTAGTTTTTTTTTTATACCCACATCACGTTCTATATTTGCATCATTATTGATATTAAAAACATAATCGACTTCATCATCTGTTATATTTTTTAAACTTTACCTTGATTCTAGGCTGGGATATTTACTAGGTTTTTCCATCGCTTCCTATCAGTTCCTTCCAATTTCCTTTTTCTGAATACCTGTCTTGTAATACTGCTTGCCTATTTTTCCACATGCATAGCATACTTTGCCTAACGCCGGGCAGTTTTTAACATGACAAGTGTCTCGAATTTCCACATCTGCCACACCCTTTATTTGAATTTGACCTGGACCTACTCCTGCTAAATCTTCCTTTATTTTTTGAAGACTCCGCTGCATGCACCTCTGTTCATTTATTTAGCTGACCATATTCTTCCAACTTACGTTTTACAACTTCTAGAGTGTTAGCCTCTGTGATTATCTTGTCTAAATGTTACACTATCTCGTATTGTCAAAATTTTCTTTCACAAATCAACAGAGAGGCACTTCTCTATTATTTGATCGATTAGGTGATCGTCCGGTTTATCAAATTGGCATTTTTCAGCTTGATTCCGCAGCCTTACTAAGAACTTATCGAATATTTTACCTTCGTCTTGTCTTATTAAACGATACAAATGTCTTTCATAAATTTTGCTTTGCTTTAGAGTGAAATAATCGTCGAGTCTCTGAATAGCTATGTCAAAAACATTATTATCACCAGAGGGTGTAGCATTGGCACCCGGGAAACTATAGAAAATTTCTTGAAGGCCCGATCCAATAAGAAGTAGAAGTGTCGCCCTTTTTTCATCGGTGTTGTTATATCTGTAGCCTCTTAGTATATATTTAATGAACGTTTCCACTTTTTCCAAATGGCCTAATGACTATCTCCCTCCAAATCCAACTTTTCCAATGTAGGTAGATTTGTCATGAGCTGAAAGGCGCGACATAAAAAATAATAAAACCTTTCGCGATTTTGTTTGTAAATTTCCAATTTAATGGTGGTACTTCTATGCCAGATGCCTAATTTAATGGAGGTATAAACTACCATGTATTTCCAATTTAATGGTGGTACTTATGTCCCAGATTCCCAATTTAATGGAGGTATAAACTACCATGTATTTCCAATTTAATGGTGGTACTTACGTGCCAGATTCCCAATTTAATGGAGGTATAAACTACCATGTTTTCCAATTTAATGGTGGTATAAACTACCATGTTTTCCAATTTAATGGTGGTATTTTATACCATTGACTCCCAATTGAATGGAGGTGTAATTAACCACAAATTTCCAATTTAATGGTGGTATTTTATACCATTGACTCCCAATTTACTGGAGGTGTAATTAACCACAAATTTCCAATTGAATGGGGGTATTTTATACCATTGATTTCCAATTTAATGGAGGTATCACTGTACCACTTATTTCCAATCGAATGGGGGTATCATTGTACCATTTTTTTGGAGTTAACTAGCTATACATGAGTATGCACAAAATTATAGAAGTGGGCGATGTAACATTTTACACTAGTAGATTTATATAAAAACGTCTGCAATTCCATTTTAAGTTGATATAGTGGGTACTTATATACGCCAAAATATATAACAATATACCAAAATAAAATTAAACAAATAAACTCCTACAAATTATTTAAACAAAAAATAAAAGAACATTTACTAAAAAACATGTAAATTAAATTTATTATAATTAACAAGTAAATTTCGCACACAGATACAACCTACAACAAATAAAAAATATATCTCAAGCAAAAACAGAAAATACTATAAGTAAATCAAATTCATGAAACTATAAAACTAGATGTTTCTGTCTAGAAATAATACAGAAAAATAATAAACTTAATGTGATGTGCGAATGCACCATCTGGTATCGCTTATCTTTGTATGTTTACTCGATCAGCTGCGTTCGCGCCGACGACGTCAAAGCTAGATAATAATACCAAGACATACTGTTCAACTACCTCCTTCTTATAGTTGTGTTAAATAACAATACTGTCCAAATTTGAATGTAATATTTAGTTAACCTAGTAATGAGTGAATGTGTACATTTTTTAATAAATGTCTAAAACCACTTGTAACATTTTAGAGGGTACGTAATTAATATAACTTAAGGTATAATTGTAATAAACATAAATAGTAACTATATTGTATACCGACCCATAGACTTTGCTTTCCACGCCATCATCCGCAAGCGTGTAGCTTCCCTCATGTATCGAGTTCGACAAAGCACCATAAGCATTCTGGAGGCAGTGTGTGAAAAGTATACGGTGCTGCTAAAACGATGGAGTGACGTCCATGCTCCCCCTTAGCGCCTAGCACCTATTCTATGTATTCTGTCTACTTAATTTTAGTGACTAACACATTCTAATATACATTTTAAGTTATAATTGTTACTAACCCAACTAACGCACATTAGAATTAATTAAATTAATGTATGGATTTATGGTCCGACAAATAAATTATTATTATTATAGAAACAAAATAAAAACTTTTATCGGGTCCGCACTTACATTGAATAATAATTATGAACATCTGCACCCGCACTATGTTATTTAGAAATTGCAGCGAACCGGCGGGTAGTTATTTATTCGGAGTCTAAAACTAAAATTTGTAACAACCTGTTTGCGACACCAGCGATAAGGACACTATTATGCCAATATAGGCAGTAGCTACTTAAATTCGACAACTATAAACAACAATGAGCGATATTAACATAGTTTTAATAAAACGAGTCACGAATGAAATAAACAAATGCACTTGTACTCTTGAGCGGTTGTAATTGCCTGTAGGTAATTTCACAATGGTTTGAGTGTTCATGATTTTATCATTATTATTTCTTTTTTTTTTAGTACATTGACCCCTTTTATTTTATTTCAATTTGAATTATATAAATTAAATAGTCTGACCTTTGTCCTCGTCGCCACTTGTAGTGCCCCTATAATGCAATCTCACTGGCTCGGCAACTCACTGTGTGCGCAGGCGACACGTCCGCTCTCGCCCCTTGGCTCTCGCTGCAATGACCGCGCACCCCGCCACGCAGTAGGCACGAGACAGTGTCATACGTACTAAGGACTGTAGGTTCTACTCAAACACTACACATAGCTAATAATCTACGGATGTTAAGTTCTATCCCCACTGGTTTCTAACCATTTTACAATTTTTACTAAAAATTGATTTTAAATATGTGGGTAGGAATCGGAAGTCGATCAAGGTTACAATCCGCCGTTTACCGATTTTACCTGTGAACGGCGTCAGTTGTGAAAGCTTATTTCGTTTTGGTTTCAAAGCCCGACGCTGTGAAGTCTAATCCCGTTTCGGTTGCAGTCTGTGGATTTCCGAATAAGCTAAAATAGGTTAACAATAATTCTTGTTTAGATGTTATATGGGTGGGAATCAGACCAGCGATCCTTTAGTAACAGGGGACCAATGAAGACGTCAAACGAACTACTTAGTTTTACAGTGGCTTATCGCGGTGTAATATTAAGCCCGAACGGAGAATAGTCGAGTAACTCACAAAATTAGATTCATATAAATGTTACACGAGTGGCGCAAACCGCTAAAGCAGATTGCATGAATTCACAGAAACTTGTATAAAATTTTCAGCTGTAAAACGCTCGCTAAGCTCATACCAACTTGGCACAATTACAATCCGCCTCGTTCTGCAATTTGCATATCGCACGCGTCCACTTGAAATTGAGAATATTGCGACGGAGATATGCAATATTGTGACAGCAATTTATTTGCGGACGGACGACGGCACTGGATATTTGCACTGTATCGAATATCGTGATTCTTGGATTGCTCTTACGATACTTGGATTATCTTGTTTATCACTACACAGTATAAAACAAAGTCGCTTTTTCTATCCCTATGTGTGCTTAAATCTTTAAAACTACGCAACGGATCATAATGTGTTGTTTTTTTTTAAAGACAGAGTGATTCGAGAGGAACATTCATAGTTTTTCTGTAGTGTATCTGTAGTATCAGCTTTGCACCCGAGCGAAGCCAGGGCGGGTCGCTAGTATGATATATTTGCGAAAACTTACACGTTAGTACTATTTTGATTACTAAAATAAGAACCTTATCAAAATATAAACCAACTAATATATAAATTCCTAGTACTAGAAAATAGGTCTTATTATTTCATATAAAGGTTACTTATATGTCATATTTATCCAAAATTACCCATCAAAAAATATATTTATATGTATAATTAAAACCGGTTTATAGATTCATATAAGGCGCAAATAAAATTGCACAATTTCTTCACTATACATGTCACATTTGAAAAATCCTACCGAATTCAGAATGCAACACGAATTTTCCTTGTAATATCATTTCAATATATTTTTTTGATAGACGAGGACAGACACGTGAACATTGAGTTTCTTGTCAGCCATTTAACATCTCAACAAGGTGCATTGTCGACTTATTTTAGCTTTGGATATTCGGAAATAGGAAAATGGTGAAACGCGTTTAACAATTAAACAAATAGTTTTTGGGTTGAAATAGAGGGAGAGCAAAAAATATTTCGAAACAGGGCACAAAAGTCTGATCATAGATAAACCAGAATAATGTTAGTCCCATGCCCCACAGGAGATTTCACACTATTAACGATAATCACGTTCGAAATTTAAAATATTTATTACGAAGAAAGCGGACGTTAATTGCTGCACTGTAAAATAACAAATAGTGTTTCCTTTCGTCAAGTGTTAAGTGAGTTGACAGTATATTGTTATCCGTTTTCATTTTCCAGCAAGTGTCGTGGATTAGGAAACGGGACTGGCATATCTTGAGCTCTGGCAAGTTCACCTACACGAACGACGAGCGGTTCCAGGTAAATATTAATGTTACTTGTTACGTTATTCACACGTTATACATCTTAATTGTGCGGTGTTATGAGTTTAAGGAAAAGTTTAGTATGTGACAAATTACGGGAGCAACGGGGATACTTTTTAATGCCCACAAAGGGTTGAAAAAGGAGAAAGCTTATATATATATATATGCAGAAGAACAATGAAACTTTCTTCTTAGGCTTTTTGGTAAAAGGAGTGGGAGTGGAAGTGAGTGTAGAACTGAGAGTGGGAGTTAGAGTAGGAATGATGTGAGGTGAGAGTGTTGCGGCAAAGTAGCACTAACAACATAGATTGGCCGCCTTAAATGCTCCCTTACTTCCGCCCAGCCTAATTTAAAAACTCTACCCCAAGTCACTATTCCACGCGGACGAAGTCGCGGGCACAGCTAGTATGTAAAAAATATTAAAAATTTATTGCATATTTTATAAAAGCTTTCATACAAAGGGCCATTGCGGGCTTATTTTTACTTGATATCAACAAATTATAACGGTCTACTTAAAATTACAAGTACTAAATCAACGGTATGTGGACCCATTCGTCCAACTCCCACTTAGTCGATTTTATTTGGCTTAATCTTTTTAACGTTAGAAGGGAAATATAAACGTACCTGTATTTAGATAGTAACTCGCTGTGCCAGCGAATTTGTCCGCGGCATAATTTATATCCACGAAGTGTCCCGTCGTTTTTGCAAAACAATCTTAAAACATGGATACTGTCATGAACATTTTAGATCATTCTGAAATACATATTTTTTGATATTTTGAACCTTTTTACATCGCACCCAATTTAATTATTATAAATTTCCTCTTCTTTTTTTAAATTTCCCGCTGTATCTTTGCTTCTATTGGTCGTGATGTTTACGTATACAGCGTAGTGTGTTATGGCCTAAAGTCCTCCACGATAAATTCTCTAACCAACACAAAATTATTTTTCAATTAGAAGCAGTTGTAATTGTGATTAGCGAGACAAACAGACAAACTTTACACTCCTACTTATTTGTCTAGGACTGGGAAATTCCAGCCACAACACCAAAGTGACAGTTTCCAAATATAATAACATATTTTGTATGGTAGGGAATTTAAATAAAACACTTTAACGGTTTAAAACGCGATATATACGTCGGGCCGTAGTTAGAATAATTTTAAAACTGCAGATAGTATTAAGTTTTTCTAAAATATGTTCCCTTCAAACCGTTAAATGTGTTTCATTTAAATTTATACTAATCTCGTGAAGTACAGAAAAAAGTTAAGATAAGGAATGTTTTATTTATTTTTTATTCAACAGTAAAGAAACATAAAAGCTACGTAATATTATCCAAGAAGCAATTAACATGCAAGCAAAAAGTACATTCGAAATTTGCACGAAAATATGGGAAGAAGTGGGAAAATATTATTCTTAATCCAGATTAGCGGATGAGTGAATATGCATGAGGTCCCACTAGGCACTATCCGGCTAAGTAGCTCGCCCTGAAAACTTCCTGAATATTTTCATATGCTAATTCCCAGCTAGCTAAGAGAAGAACATTATTGTTTATTTTTATTAACTCATTTGCTAAGCAAACGAGTCGCAACGAAATTAGAATGCTAAAGCCAATCGTGTTTGGAATTTGAGATTTGATGCTGAGTAAAAAAAATTGCAAATACTGAACAGTATTTAAACGTTAATAAACACGAACGGGGAACTTACTAGGTAACTTATTTTTAACAACAATACAGTCGATTTGCAGTCGTAGTAAAAGATGAACTGCTTAAAAATAAGCAAAAATTTGAACATATTTCGCACTTCAAACCGTTAAACGTGTTTTTTTTTAAATTATGTACACACTATTCGCGTAAACTACAGATATTCTTTACTATATTGTTTTGAACTACAGTGTTTCAGATGCTTTGTAGCAGTCATGGTCAAGGGTAAATGTGTCAAGTTTAATAATTAGGAAGCTGATTTATTTCAGGCTTAAAACCGTTTAAAGTGTGTTATTTGAATGTACTATTCGCGTAAAATATATATATAATCTTTGCTATATTAATTTATTTGCAAGTTTATTACGCAAAAATTCGCTAACATTGTTAATAAACGAATGTTTCTCGTTTGAAACCGTTAAAAGTGATTTATTTATATTCGTAATACTTGCGTTAACTACAGACAATACTTATTTTCAATATTTCCTTTATAGTATAAACAAAAAGAATTTAAATACTGTCTATAGTTTTGTTGTAGTTTCCTTGCAAACGCGAAGAAACCGTTAGTAAATTCTGCAAGGACCCGGCCAGTTTCACCAAATACCAACTTCGACGGAACAGATGGCGCTAGCGTAGCAATTTTTTATTCTGACGTCAGAGACATCCTCCATCTTTAGTCTCCCCGTAACCACGGCTGCTGCAAAGCATCCGAAACGTCGGGCCGAAGTTAAAAATCATTTTGAAATAAGTTTAACTAATATATCGCGTTTTAAACCGTTAAAGTGTTTTATTTAAAAATACTTTAATACAGAAATAATACCAAGTTGCAAACATAGCTTCTTACATTGTGATAACGACGATAATTCTCGAGTGAACGATTAGTTTCATAAAACTAGGTATACCTTCATCACCTGACCGGTCCATCTTCATTGTAAATTGATCCCTATTCAGTGATTGATTAAGTCCAATATCAGCCTGACACCGGATATCCAATGTAAGCTAAACTTTTGCACAATTTTATTACACACATTTATCATCGGAACGGTATCAATTTGACGCGCAGTATTTCTTTCAACTTATTCCATGTGAAAATTGGGACGACGCCATGGAAGGTATTTGGGAATTTATGTTACGTGTACTAATGGTGCGGTCTCTATAAAAGGCGTTTCGTTATGTTTAGCGAATTAACACAGTACACAAACTGAAGTGGCTTTTCAAAATGGCCGCAAAGGGCTTCTACCATTCTATAAGGATAAATTAAACACTTTTTTCGGTTTAAACTGCGACATATTTCCAAATTCAAATAATTTAATCCACACCAGTTTACGCAAGTAGTATTTAAATATAATACTTTAACGGTTTAAAACACGATGTACATCACTTTTACACCAAAGAAATTAAAATGACATATATTAGTTTACCTATTCGTAATTTTAAATTCAACAACGACGTGTTGGCTGCTTCTAATATATTTCGCGTTTTAAACCGTTAAAGGTGTTTTATTGAAATATTCCCGTAAACTACAGACAATGCTAGTTTTATAAGTTAGCTGATCCAACAAATCATTTTAATAGGACTTTTAACAAATAATTTATAATAATAAAATTAATTTGAACCAAATGTAATTATAATAAAAATGGTAGCGGCGTTTTATAGAACTAGATGATTTAAAAAGAAATCATTCCTTCATACGTATTTTTTGTTTTTTTCTTAACTGTTTCACAGCCCACGCAACAGAAACCCTGAATTTTCCTAATATTTTATTGTATTTTCGCTCGTATTGGTGGCTGTCGTATGTTATGTAGCATACAGCCTTCTCGACAAATGCTCTAACCAACACAAAAATGTTTTTTCAATTCGAACACTGCTAATTTCTGAGATTAGCGTGTTCAAACAAAATCTTCGCTTTATAATATTAGTATAGACTATAGATATATACATCGTTGAATTGCCCTTACCAACGATGGATTATCTAATCAGTGATGGGAGGATTCTGTAAAAGTTTACCGATCTAGGCAGCCATTGATTCCGTTTACTGAAGCCAAGCCTTCAGACGATTTTCAAGTTTACCTGAGCCCGAAGATCCTCAGCTCTTCAAAGTTTGCGGTCTAGTGTAATTACAAGATTCCCCTTGTTTAATTTCTATTCAAGTTTATCGGAGTGCTTCGTAACCATCTTATGTAGATTGGTACTTGTTGTATTCATTAGACTGGAGTAACTTGTAACCGAATTGCTAATGAATACACAAAGGATAATCATAACTTATTATTGATTTATCAAGTCCTAACATTTTAATGCCAGAGAAGTACAGACAAGGGTGCGCTATTGACCTATTTTGGCTTTGGATATTCGGAAATCCTTAAATTGAAACGCGATAAAACTTAACCATTTTTACGTCTGTAGACGGTTCGTGGTCAGAATGCAATTTCGATATTCCTACCACTATATTAGAAAGATTTCCAAAAGGGCAACATGTTTCATAAATGTTATAAATTAATTATAAAAATCTTGGACCCGGGTGAGAATCGAACTCAAAACTCGTTAATTATAAAATTCAGGCAGAAATTCGATCCAAATCATAAACCAACGTCCACACGTGAGAAAGTTTTCAATTTTAAGCGCGTTTCAGTTTTAGCCTATGGCTTTTCGAATATACAGATTCAAAATATGTTGATATCTTGTTTAGATGTTAGCTAGGGTGTTTCGCCTACCATCAAGTGACGCATACCATATTTATATCATTATATGCCATACAAAAACATACACTGTAAATAACAATTAATGTTTGCGATATATTTATTTCACGTATGGTATTTAAACTCTTTGTGAATCTACAAATCAACAAACTCCATTTAATAGCAATAACAGTTATTATCACAGTTATATTTTGTCAATTAACAGGGGCGATAGTGTTTGTGAATGCAGTAAACATCGAGTTAAAATTATAGCTTTTCATTAGCGCTTGGCCAGAATATAAAATGAATCCATTCATTGCGACTGACTGACTATTTCAGCGTTATGTTACGAAACAGTGCTCGTTCCGCGGTTTTACCCGCGTAAAAAATACGGGTTGCGCTCTGGCAGCGCCGGTAGAAGAATTAACTCCAATGCATAGCCAATAATCATCAGGTCGTGCTTTTAATCCCCACCGGGTCCAACATTATTCTAATCAATTGATAATTTTCTAACACATGTTGGACTTCGTCTTGAAATCTGGATATCAAATTGGTGGTAGGAATATCGAATTTCCGTCCGGGTCACGAACCACCGTCCACAGATAAAAAAGCCGTGATTTTGTTTTTTAAGAACTTTTAAAAACTTTTAATTAAGAGGGTAGAATAATAAATAAATAAATGCCCGGAAACATTGTATTATCGAAGTATTATATCGTGACCTAATGAAGTCAAGGTTTCTTGAGATCGAGCAATCTGTGTTGCGGAGTACCTGCACGTGATACAATTCAAAGAAAACATCTGAAAAGTTATTTTCCTCGTTCTGTAAAATTATTTTTATAAATATCCTTAAAAGTAAATACTATTAAGGTAAATGATTGCCATATTATTTCTTTAACAAACTTACATTCAAATTGCATTTATTTTTGACTACAGTCAGAACTCCTATGCACCCAAAGCTTAGTCTTACATCTTCAGTTCCGTGAGTTAATCAACCCTATTTTAAATACTATCTGTAGTTTACGCGAGTAGTACGCCTTTTTAATAAAAAACTAACTCTTTAGTCACCCCGTGACCACGGCTGCTGCAAATCATCCGAAACATCCCGATCTAACATACAGCCTGCTGTAGTCAAAATCATTTTCAAATAAGTTTAACTAATATACATGGCGTTTTAAACCGTTAAAGTGTTTGAAACCGAATTTTAGTCAGCCCTGTGAACAGTTATGAAAAACATTTCATATGTAAATTACCAACTTGAAAATATTTTTACAACCCAACTGTTTTATTCGCGCCAAGGGACCGAGACGTATTACGGTAATTCCCTGAGAACTTATCTTATCTTTATGAAATAAACAGGATTTGGAATTTCAAAACTTTCGGGACAAAGCATAAAATTTATTGAGCTTTAAACAAAATATTTCTCAAACGAAGGACTGTATTGATTTATGAAAAATTCAGCTTAGCCAATACTACATCTATTTTATTTATTTAAACCATTTATTATTTACTAAACATATTAGTACTTAGTATAAATATTGGGCAACGATCTTCACTAAGTTACAACAATACCGTTAAGTGTATTGTGGTCTAGATAACTTACTCCTATAAAGAAAGATATTACGATAAGAATTGCTTACAAAGGAATAGAATTTAAATATTTTCAGATGCACATCTTATGTTTATGTCAACACTATAGAAGCCTAAAGCCTTCATTGATATTTTTTCTAATTTGAACCAGTAAATCCTGATATTTGCGCGTTCAAACGAATAAAAATGCATCTAATTTTTAAACTAAGATTTCGCTATCTGTCTGTCATCTGACTCCAAATCAAGAACCACAATGAATAAAACGTGGAAGTCTTGACAAAATTAGCATTTCTGCTGTCGCTATGTAAAACAAAATTTAGGGAAGGCTCCCAAAAAACAATAATGCCTTTTTGTGCTTTATTTCGGTACCAATAAACCAGACCAATAACCATGAAATTATATAAAAAAAAATTACATCGAAAGTAACTCTGTCTGTCTGTCTGTTACCCTTTACGCCAAAACTACTAAACGGATTTAAATGAAATTTGGTACACAGATGGTCTAGACTTTAAAAAAGAACATAAGGTACTTTTTATTGCAAAAAGGGGGTTGTCAGGGGTTAAAAGGGGAAATTCGTGGTTTTTGAAGCTAGCACAATGAAACTCCCTTCTTTGGCTTTTTGGGAATAGGAGTGGGAGTGAGAGTGAGAGTGGGAGTTAAAGTGGGAGTGATGTGAGGTGAAAGTGTTACGGCAAAGTAGCACTTACAACATAGATTGGCTGCGATGAATGCACAATTACATAAATTAATAAACAGCCTAAATAATAAAAAAATTCTACCCCAAATCACTATTTCACGCGAACGAAGTGGCGGGCACAGCTAGTATAAAACAAATACAAGTGGTGTACCTTTAACTAGGAATTTCGATTCGCACTTTGCCTCAACATTTATTCATTGATTCTTCCGTCTCAATTCCAGGTCTTACACGGCGAAGGTTCTGAAGACTGGACTCTTCAAATCAAGTTTGTACAGAAGCGAGATAACGGCACGTATGAATGTCAGGTGAGTATTTTTCACTCTTAGTATTGTCAAAAGCCCAAAGACAAAGCAGCGTATAGTCGCGCTAAATATTAATTTCCAGAAGTATAACAATAGCCTCTGTGTACTTATATATTAAACAAAACTACCCCTGTTTGAAAGCGTTGACTATTTAAACTTATGGAAAAGGTAGGCTGGAGTTAAAAATCATTTTCAAATAAGTTTAAACTAATATATCGCGTTTTAAACCGTCAGTGTTTTATTCAAATGTGTACTACTCGCGTCAACTATAGATAGTATTTAGCGTTTACTATTGATTGGTTAATTCCAGGTAAGTACTATTTTCCTAGGAATAAACTACAACAACATGCATAGTTTTTAAATGTACTAATCTTCCACGATAACGCGTAGGACTCGGTAGCTCCATTGGTTAAATGCCCGTAATTTTTTTTTCAATCTAAAATCGAATTTCATTTCTACAATGCCATCATGTGAAAAAAGATCTTCAGTGATTGTTAAAACGTTGAACCTAATTTGCAAGTGTTCTGGTTGAAATCACATTGCACGAGCGATGCATGAAAAAATTCGACGATGACATATACGAGACAGTAGCTCAATTGGTTCGAGCAACAGCACGGAACGCTGAGGTTCAAGTTCTTTCCATGACGATATTTTTCAAAATCTAAAATCGATTTTGTAAGACTATTGTTAAATTAAAATCATAAAAAAAAACATAGTAATATTGTCCTTCATTTAAGCCACTGAGTCACGGCGGCATGGTACATACTAAAAATGCTGCAAGTTTAATAGCTAACTCATTTTAAATAAAACACTTAACGGTTTAAAACGCGATATAGTAGTTAAACTTATTTAAAAATGATTTTTAACTTCGGCCCGACGTTTCGGATGCCTTGCAGCAGCCGAGGTCACGGGCATACTGATCAGTTTAACTAATATATCGCGTTTTAAACCGTTAAAGTGTTTTATTTAAATGTGTACTACTCGCGTAAACTATAGACAGTATTTAGCTAACTCCTTCCTATTTAAACGTTTATATAAAGATAACACGTACTACTTGTCTCTTAGCTGTTCGAGCTACGCTGAAAAAGGTACAAGCTTCATTCAGAGCTATATTTAAGCTCTCTTAGCTCAATATAATTAGCTTAGTGATTGATCGTGACGTACATTGTTGGATACAATTGCGCACTTCACTCATAACTGAGTTATCGTTAGCTAATTAAGGCCACGTCGTACTGCATCGTAAATTACAATAACTAAGATACCAGATAGCTAATGCTCGTGTGGCTTAAATCAAATTATCGCCTCGGTTTCGAAGCGATCTCGATCTTACATCATTCCTGTAATCTCGTTATTTATGCTCGAAGTTATTAGAATAGAAATATCGATGTTAACATGTAGAGTGTGCTTTTTCTAACTTGGCATTATTTGTAAAGAAACATAATTTACATGAAATCGTGATTTCCTCACAAGATTTACACTAAATTATACCAAAACATTTGAGACACTGGATTATATATTAAACTAATGATATCTCAAATTCACTTCAAATCAAAATCCTAAAAATTAATACGTAAATGAACAAATTAAAATGTCTTTGATATTTACATAGGATGGAAAGTAAGCAAAGTCAAGGAGAATAAGAACTAAAAGTCCCACTCATGCAGTATCGCTGAAAAGCTTTACAAACGTCGAGTTAAATGATAATAACTTAAAAATTAAATAATGTTCGTCATAAAAATTATTTTGAATATTGAGGTTGTATCGCGTTTTACACCGTTATAGTGTATTACCTAAATGTGTATGACTCGCGTAACAGACAGTATTTAATTAATTTTTGATGTTTCGCAGAAAGATAGGAAGCAATAGATGATTTTGAATTAAAGACATAATATAAGGTGTTTATAATCTTCGCGGCTGTAGCAAGAAAAAGCTTTCAGATTTTGTTCCAAAGGTAGATTCGGTAATGGCCGTCAATTTAGAAAGAATTTCACGACATCAGGCGCAAAATGGCGGTGTAGAACCCGTATGCTCACACATTTTTAAGTGCTTTCGTAAAGCTGATAAGTCCGCCATTTTTCTTAAGAAGTCTTATTTTTTTATATTTAACAAAGCAAATGGGGATGACTGTTTACATGTTTTAAAATACTAAACAGGTTAAAAGCAAAATATCTTATAAATGATACCAAATTCAAGTACGTTCTTATCGATTCTTATATAATTTTTATGAATTTGTTCGCGTATAGCTTCGTTATTTGTGTGTGGAATCCCGTTTCCACCTCGTGGGGCATGAGGCGAACACATTTCTATGTCCGTTTCACTAATCCGTTCTTTAACAGGGAAGTAGTTGATTAGACTTCTGTGCCCTGCCTGACCGAAACAATTAGTTCCCTGGGATTCGAACCAAGGACCTCTCGCGCTTAACGCAATGATAGACGATACGTTTAACCATTTGGCTACAGAGGCGGCCATTTTGATGATTGCTTTTTTCATTGGAATTTCGATATCTTCAAGTTGATCCCATATTAAGGAAATCAGACAATGATGAATACAGAGAAATCGAGGAAATCTTTCAGAAAACGTTGTTCCTTTGTATGCTTTTTACTCACTTAAGAGTACTATAATCTTATAAGAATTTGTCTCATGTTTATATCTGACGATGGAGCCGAGAGACAGCCTCAACGATTAACAGAATCTACCTTGTCATCGCCACGATCTCTAGATTCTAAACATTACAACTTATTTTTTTTACGAGTCTACAACATTTTAAATTTTAATGACTCCGCGTATTACTGCATCCCCAATAAAGGTCGTGAGCACATCTTATCAATATTACATCATCATCATTCATCATCATTATCAGCCCGTTTGGGTCCACTGCTGGACGTAGGCCTCTCCCAAAGCATGCCACTCGGCCCTCTCTTGAGCTCTATTTATCCATTTGCTGCCGGCCACTTTCTTCAGGTCATCTGTCCACCGTGCTGTAGGTCGTCCTACACTGCGTTTGCCTAATCGTGGTCTCCAATCTAGTATATGTCGGCTCCAGCGACCATCTTCTCTTCTGCAGACATGCGCAGCCCATTGCCATTTTAATTTAAATTTATATTACATAGGGTCGGTATATTTTACATTCCATTAAGTAAACTCTATGCTTTTCTGTGTTAAGTAATATAATAAGAATAATTGAGACTTTTATCAATTTATAGAATAATAAAGCTAGCGTAAATAAACCGTTATTTTCACTGTTAAGAGATTTGCGTAGTTGGCGCGGCTTCAGCGCGTCTGTTTGTTCGGCACACAATTTTTACGATTGTGTCAACACTACGAGAGTGCGGCTCGCGAATTCTCGCTCACCTTTTCACTCGTAAATCGAAATATGGGAGTCGAGTTCCCTTCGAGTAATTATGAAAAAGGTTAAGTAATTACTTCTACTCGGGTCGCCTTATTTATCTCTGTTTATTCGAATAATGAAGGCCGTTTAAATATGAACACTGTAACGGTTTTAAACGCGATTTATATTAGTTATTGGCGTTTTCCAGCCCGTCCTGGTTAAATAAATACTGATAGTAATTTACGCGAGTGTATACATTTAAATAAAACAGTTTAACGGTTTAAAACGCGATAAATACTTTATTTAGCGAATAATGAAGGCTTTTAAATAAAACAATTTAACGGTTTAAAACGCGAAATATATTTTAGTTATAAAAGTTTGTCGCGCTTTAAACCGTTAAAGTGCTTTATTTAAATATGTACTACTCGCGTAAACTACAGACAGTATTTATTTAACCAGTACGGATTGGAAAATGCAAATTACTATTACGTATCGCGTTTTAAACCGTTAAAGTATTTTATTTAAATGTGTACTACTCACGTAAACTACAGACAGTATTTAATGAAGGCTGTATTTTTAGCTAACGCGTAAACGAGCGCTCTAAAAGCCTTTCAATTCTCGATTATACGTCTACGCCTAGCTCTACCTTTGATGAGATGGGATTTTTTCGATTGAATAGATGGAAAAACCTTTATATAGGCCGCGTCTCTTGCGACTAGCTGTGTCAGCGACTTTGTCCGCGTAGAATTGTTATTTTGGATATCCAAATCTGTTTTTGCAAACCTCCTGTTTAACTCTACAAATTTAAGCTTTTACCCACGACGTCGTTTGCGTCCCGTCGTTCTTGCAAGTTAATCTGAAAAGATAGAAATATAGTGTCGCGAACATTTTTTTAGATTCTTTAAAGGAAAAATTCCTTTATCTTTTGGGTATCTTGAACTGTTTTCGCAGCGTATGGATTGGAAATCCTCTAAGATTAATGATTTTCCTCGTTTTTCCACATTTCCCGCCGATTCTGCGCTCCTATTAGTCACATCGCGATAAATGTTCTAACCAACACATAACTTTTTTTTCAATTCGAACCAACAGTTGCCAACATTAGCGTGTTCAAGCAAACAAACAGAATCTTCAACTTTATATATTACTTTGGATTAAAAAAGGAAAGAACATAAGTAGTGTCTGTTGTTTAAGAGTGTAATTAAATAAAACCTTTTTAACGGTTTGAAACGCGAACTTATTTACTATTTATTCAAGATTCAATATCAACCAAATACACGTTTCCGATGACCACGGCTGCTGCAAAGCATCCGAAACGTCGGGTCGAAGTTAAAAATCATTTTCAAATAAGTTTAACTAATGTATCGCGTATTTAAATGTGTACTACTCGCGTAAACTATAGACAGTATTGAATGTAGACATTTTGTACTCAGCGGGGATCTAACCCTTAGGCCGTTCATTATTAGATATACGTTGCTTCCATTATACCAAAAGCCAGTCAAAATAAATATGAAACATAAGGATACTGGCGATTTACAAAAAAATATATCGGACAACGACGATAAAATAAGCTAGGGACACGCAAATGCGGTTATCCTAACCCAATACCTACCAAACCTACGTAAAACCGGCGTAAACCGGCACAAACCGGATTGCCTTTCAAACTGCGAAAAATGCC